GGGATGCTACAAGAGGAACAGCCTACCCTGGCAATGCTTTCCTCTTATTGTTTTTGCTGCAGTACTGTCATGTTTGAGACGCTTCCATTACTCTTGCTGTTCTCTCTCTGTATTTTACGGCGAAATATATAGCAACAATGTGCTTAATCTATCAGCGCCTATCTGTTTTGGTGGAGTGCACGATCCTCTGTAAATGGAAGCAGCAGAGAAATCTGTCACATTCGCCCATGCAGTTTAGCAGTTACTAGGGCCAGTTCTCTCTTGTTGTGAATACAGTAGTGGATATGATCTTGTCAGCCTTCATATTCCTTCATTGACTATCACTTTTTACTTCTAACATAGTTTCGTAAATGAGAAATTCATGGTGGATGAGTCATGAGAGAAAATATGCCCCCCTCCCCACAAATCTCAGAGGCACTTTAAAGAAAATATATATTGGAAATATGAAATAAATCACTTGCCATTTCATGGAAAGTGCTTCAACAGTTCCGATTTGTTTAGAAGAAGCTGCAGCGTGTATTGTGGAAGGTTATATACAGGCGAAACCTCCTCTTTCTAGTTCTGCTTATCTTCATGTATGGAAGAATGAATCAGAGCAAATCTTTAAGACGACACATTAAAAAATAAAATGCTTTCAGACACCATTTATACTGAGCTGTTCACTGCACAGTATTTTACAATCAGCGTAAGCAATAAAACTGGGCTGTTAATACATAATGGATGTTGATTGCAAAAGAAGAATGTTTCTGAAGAGAATCAAGTTGGAGAATCATGAAATTCAAAAATATACCCCTTGGCATGTTTCATATTGCAAAATGTAAAGTGTGTATTCTGAAATAGGGGGTAGATAAATACATAAACAGGGAGAAAGCATTTTGTGGAAGAATCATTAGCAAGCAGAAACATTACAAATTCCTGTAGTATCTTCTGCTTACAAAGTGTTGTGGACATATCACATGCTTGTTTATTGGACATTTCTCTGGCTGCAGGAATTTTATGAAAATATGGGAGGTTTGTTTAAAAGATAAGTTACATGCATTCTTTTGATAATAGGCACTCCCAATATACCTCTTTGCAAGTGGCAAAATTGCTCAAACGTATTAATTGACAGTTTCATGCTTCACAGTGGCTTCTAACTTGAAACATTTATTCAAACAAAATGTGATAGTGAAGAGCTGTATTTTCCTTAGGGAAATTTCTTACAACTGTCATTAGCACCACATGCCATAATATACTTCCCCACTCCCAACTGGAAACCATTATGCTAGTAGTATTACTAATGGTACTATGCATAAAATTATAGTTAGCAGTATTTATATAGTAATGCTCCTTAGGGATTAAAGTTTTTCCACATACATTGTTTCATGAAACCTTCCTTCAGCCTTTGTAAGGTAGACCAGTATTATTAATTCCTTCTTACTGTTTTCCAGAGGCTGAAGAAATAATGGCCTCCTTAAAGTGACTTCATGAGTAAAATGGAAATCTGAACCCATGATTTCAGGGCACATAGCTCATGATGTTAACCATTATCCTTCCATAGGATTATGCGATGGGCATTGACTGTTATGTACAGCAGTGTTATTTTTCTAGAAAAAGAGGTGCCAGAACTCACCATGAACACCTTCCTCGTTCTCTTAGAACGGCAATGGCGCCCACCTGAGAGGTGCTGGAATTAAGTTCCGGCAAGTTCCGGCTGAAAAAAAGCCCTCATGTACAGTAATATATATTGAAAGTGAATAGTATTTTGCTTTATGTTTCTAATTTGTGTATTTCCAGTATATATATATATATATTATCTGTGATATACTTGGTAGTCATTCCTCATTTTAGCAATCCTTTAATTGTTACAGATTATTCAATATATCCACAATGGCATATCTCCTTTAAACAAAATACTGTGAAGGAGATCACAACTCATATTTGCTCAGATATCTGACCTTGAGAAGAAAATATTTGCATTTTACATTAGACTGTGAAATGCTCTTAACATTCAGTAAGAACTGTATTGCCTTGCTTTTTAAGAAATGGGCTATTACATATAATTTGCTGCAAAGATTAGTGTTACAACTGAATTTCACGGATGAAGGGCAGCCTTAAGAGGAGAATAAGAGACCTTATTCTGGACAAAAATACCCAAGACCCGAAGCCCTCAAATCAAATTGCTAGGGCTGAGTATGGAAAGATGCTTCACTCAGTTGCCTCATTAACCTCGTTATATGGAAGGGCACTGGAGCACAGGTCAGCCTGGTTTGAACACAATGGTTGCCTAACAAATATTTGAAACTGCAGCCTGGTTGTATGAAATTAATTTTGGAGATGTTGCTACAGAAATATTGCTGTTCCCTGTGTTGTTTGGGACTGCTCTCCCCAGTTTTTACTGCCGTCTGTTTTGTCATGTGTTTGGGTATGTCAGAAGCAGTTCCAGACCCTTCAAGTGTCCCTATTTTCCAGGGACACCCCTGATTTAGAGAAGCTGTCCCAGTTTCTGATTTGATCCTGGAATGTACCTCCTTTCCTTAGGATGTCCCTATTTTCATTGGAGAAATGTTGGAGGGTATGGAGTTGTATAACTCCTGAGCCGTCTGAAGGCAGCCCTGTATAGGGAAGTTTTTTAATGTCTAATGTTTTATTATGTTTTTATATATGCTGGAAGCTGTCCAGAGTGCTGGGGCAACCCAATAAGATGTGTGGGGTAGAAATAGTAAAACGATCATTATGGGATGTTCCTATTTTCATCGGAGAAATATTGGAGAGCATGCAGTTTCCCCCTCCTGCCTCCAACTCATTCACAATTTATTCAATCCCACATACGCTTGTATACTACATATATTAGTCCTTGGATCTCCATTAATTTTTGTTAGCTCAAGTAGTGTTCAAAGCATCTTACAGAATATTTAACAATACCATACTACTTGTCGAGACGAGATACAAAGAATAAACATGAAATGAAGCTAAAGGTCATGTGTTTGCATAAAGGCCAAGCATGCTGAGAGGAGCTCCATGGCTTGAGCCCTTCTGTCCTGCCGTGTCTATGCACTAAACGGTCCCTCTGTCCTGCTTTTTCTACAGGAGCTTTTGGCTTGAATCTAGAACAATTGGCAGTGGGATGGAGGAGCTCAGGCAAGATGCAGGCAGAAATGAGCAGATTTAAGATTAGGTTCCAAAGGGCATGGAGTGGATCCCTGTGATAGTTTATGTTGTTCTGGAAGAGCTCAGCCAAGCTCAGTTGGAGAAGACCTTCCAGATGCCTTGACTTCCATTCTAAGCAGAGTTGATGGAAATCTGGATTGAAGCCTTGTGCTGAGGCCTTGTAGAGTGGCTTCTAGGAGCACTTTCTGCCTTCTGTGAAAGGAAGGCCCTAACATGGCCATCATGTTATCAAAGCGGATGATTTTGTCTTCTTGCTTGAATGGTGTCTTCAACCTCAGGACAGAACATGGATTATTCCTTCCCAACATAAATTGCACCCCACTTTGTGAACCATAATCTCCAGTTTCTCAGCTTTTGTGCTCCCTGTTTCAATGTTCTAATTTGCTCTTCACAAACACACACACCTGGAAAAATTCCTGCAGACACTCCTGTTCTCTAATACAGTGGTACCTCGGGTTACAAACACTTCGGGTTACAGACTCCGCTAACCTGGAAGTACTACCTCGGGTTAAGAACTTTGCTCCAAGATGAGAACAGAAATCGTGCTCCGGCTGTGCGGAGGCAGCAAAAGGCCCCATTAGCTAAAGTGGTACCTGAGGTTAAGAACAGTTTCAGGTTAATAACGGACCGCCGGAATGAATTAAGTTTGTAACCAGAGGTACCACTGTATAGCCATGGGATGGCCTGAGAAATGTGGAGATTATGGAAGGATCTTTCTAACCTAGAACTATAGGCTTTCCTGATATCAGCCTTAAAAGTCATCTCTGAACATGATCCAGACTACTCTGCTTATTTTTCCACCTATGAGAACAGTAAGATTGGCAGGCACATGGGAGAGGCTTTCTTACTGATGGCCTGATCAGGCAGGTCACATCCATATAAATATGGAAGAAAGCCTTCAAGACCTTTTTTTTTCTTTCTACACTTTTTGGGGGAATGATTTTAAGGGGGCTACTGATGTGATGTTTATATTCTGTTTACGCACTATTTTAGGTTCTGTTGGATTAACTATTGTTAATCAAGTGGAATAATGTTATTGGTAGTTCTTAAAGTTATGTATTTATGCATTTTTATATGTTTAGCTCATATGTTTGTAGGTCAACTTGCGAGAAATATTTTTAAAACTAGTAACAAACAAACACATACACACACCTGCACAGAAGGGAAGGAAGATGTGTTTCAATTCTCTCTCTCTCTCTCTCTCTCTCTCTCGTAACCTACCCTGCACAATTTTGCTCTGTTATACTCCATATTTTTTTATTTGAATTTAAACCCTCTTTTGTTTGGTGATACTGCTTTCAGTAACTAGTTTCCGGCATATGCAGTCATAGAAGTCACCACAAGATGTGACAAAATGTAATTTGCAAAGATTTCTACATCAGCATGTAGATGATTTCATTCATTTGTCCAAACATTGCCCATTAGGGAGAACATAGAAACCATCCTGTAGTATTTTCCTAGAAAAGCAATATAATGTAAAACGAATGAATGAATAAAATGTGTAGCTACCACTAGCAGGCACCCGATTATCAACAGCGCAATTTTGTAAAGATTCAATGCTGTTTCAGACCCACATTAGAATGGTAGCTGCTTCCAAAAAACTTCACATGAAGTTTGTTTCATAATTATCATGGAAATAATTACTTTAAAAACGAACAAAACCCCAAACAAAAGCAAATTGAATGCAGCAGGACCTGAAAGACATTTGTTCTGCTTTCATAACTGCCAAGAGTTAGGAAAACAGGAACTTGCAATATAATATGTCAGATCATTTGGTCCATCTAGCTCAGTATAAACTGACTAGCAGCAATTCTCTAAGATATTGGACAGGAATCTTTTCCATCCCTACTTGGAAATGTCAGGGATTGATCCTAGGACCTTTTGCATACAGAGCATTCGCTCTGCCACTGAACCAAAAACCATCTCCTGTAGTCACATTTGACTGCCGGTATAAGAGAAAGGCTTCATAGTATGAATCTGAGATGCTTGCAAGGAGATTTGCCTGCAATGGCAATAGACCTGTGGTTCCCAAACGTTTTCTCCCACTTGAAAATGGCTGAAGGTGCTGGCAGACCACTTCATTATTTTTTTCTTCCTCTTGCCTCAATTATAGTGTATAATTATTTGCTGCATGCTGCAAACCACCTGAATGAAGTCTGTGGACCTTCCTTGGATGAATGACTTGGAGTAGAAGCATTTTTAAGTGTAGACAGATCAGCCGTGGGGTTCTGGTGTTTTTCCTTTGAAACAAAAACAGTGGTACCTCGGGTTACAGACACTGCAGGTTACAGACACTTCAGATTACAGACTCCGCTAACCCAAAAATAGCACCTCGGGTTAAGAACTTTACATCAGGATGAGAACAGAAATCACACGGCAGCTGCGGGAGGCCCCATTAGCTAAAGTGGTACCTCAGGTTAAGAACAGTTTCAGGTTAAGAACGGACCTCCAGAACGAATTAAGTTCTTAACCTGAGGTGCTACTGTAAAGGGTTGAGGCTGGGGGACATGCACTGAGGATGGTCCCAGTGGCCCATAAAAACCTAAATTAAATAGCATTTTAAATAAAACCAAGTCATGCAAGATAAGTCTATTAGCAGTGACAGCTATATGGATGAACTACTAAGTCAAGACACCATATAACTGAATACAAACCATGGTTGTGTGTCCACTGCCATAATGAACTCCTGGGGAGCTTATTGGAGCCAGGTAGCCTGCCATGGGAAACACATAGAATTGTAGAGTTTTCTTCATTATTTTATTTCGTAAATTTGTACACCACCTTATACCTGCAGGAAAGGACCCTGATGGTCATCTAGTCCAACCCCCTGCAATGCAGGAATATGCAGCTGTCCCATACAGGGATCAAACCTGCAACCTTGGTGTTATCAGCAGCACGCTCTAACCAACTGAGCTATCCAGGCCATGTCATTGGATTGGAAGGGCCCTTTGTCTGGTCCAGCAGCATTTCCCTTCCCTGTTCTTAAACTGTAGCTCACCCTGGATAAGAGTGCTTTGATTTGGGCACTGTTTGTCATTTCTGCTCCACACTACATTTAAGTCACCCCAGAGCTTTTGCAGGTACAATTCATCTTTGTCCCTTCGGCTGCAGACCTAGGCTGTCCAGTGAAGCAGTGTCAATGCAAGTCCTTGGGCAAGGCAAATGACAGCAGAAAATGACCATAGAGGAGAACCAAACACTCCCCATACCAGCTATTTTCTTTTCTGATGGGAGTGGCATGAGCAACACAAACACAAGCTCCATTTGAGGTTGATCAAGTAACAGTGGCAAAGAGCTGCGTGGAGTGAGGAATGCACTGCCCTAGCCAATGTGTCCTCTGCCTTAGGCTTTCCTGGATGTTTGATGATGCAGACCTGGCTTCCTTCAATTCCTACACTGAGTCACGCATGGACAGGTTTCAGCGCACCTGTACCTGCTGAGCGAGCTGCCCAACGGTTGTATCACAGGAAGCTCCACTATTCTTTGTCTTTTCATTTTTTTAAAAAAATTGCCAAGTAGAATTGACGCACACAGGCATACTTATCGCTTGATGACAGCAACGCGAAACAGTTGTTTGCACATGTGAAATACAGATTAAATGCCACAGGCAGAACTTTCATAGCAATTGACCCCAAGATGGAGGCAGTTCACAGATTTGGTAGTGAGGTATTAAGTGCTCTATCTTCGGGTGATAGTGACTTTATGAGCTGACACAAATGGGCCCATGTGAGATATTTAAATTTGCCTGTTTTTAAAGCTGATCACTGGGAAAGCTTCTCTCTGTAGGAAAACTCTGAGCGTCTATGTGCAAAATTCTCACTGCCCCATTGCCTCCTCCAATTAATCATCATCTCCTCCATTTCCAGGGCACATCTAGGTTTCCATGGAGCCCTGATTTGCCCTGAGATGGGTCTACTGCATCTTCTGCTGGGGTTGGGGACCTCAGGCCTGGGGGGCAAACATGGCCTTCCTGGCTTCTCTGTCTGACTCTTGGGACTCTCCTGAGACCACAGCCCTCACGAGTCCTGCTCCATGCTCCTCTTGAGTGGTTTTGCCTACCTTGGATTTGTCCTTGAACAAATCCAATGCCTCTTGCTTGGCTAGGTGGATGACCGAGAGATGTGTGAGTGTGCGTGGAAGATAAGCAACTGTAAAAAGTCCACATTTACATTTATTGCTTTGCTTACTTTTGTCTTTGGCCCCGTGTACCACTGGCATGTGGCCCCCAAAAGATTGACCAAGTGTGAATGTGGCCCTCAGGCTGAAAAAGCTATCTCGCTTGAAAAAAGCTATTTCAAAAGAACACCTGAGAAACTCAGATTAAAAGAGGACTTTTTAAGTACGTGTGTGTGTGTCTGTGTCTGTATACAATCCAGTTCAACAGGACAGAAAGCAGTTTAAAAGTGCCTTCTTTAAAATGTAATCACATCTGATGCCCTGAACACATTCCACCCTAAATGCTAGGGTGGTTAGCTAAATGCTAACCATTCAAAATAGTCTTACATGGAGCTGTGTCTATTTCAACTGATGTGTTTGTGGAAAATGGTATTATTCACCGTGACTAATAGTATAAGAATCTGGATCTTGGCTATTACATGCAGTTTGAACAACTCCTCGATTGTTTTTTACACCCTAAAGTCTTTCGGTTTTTAATGGCAATTCACACCAGCTACAATACCGAGAATACCCTGTGGTGTCTGTTAGCAGTACATGTAGAGCTAGTTGATATTTTAGCAGGGCTCTTTCAGATCCATATGCTTTGCTTCAATCGAAAAATTATATTGCATCTGATTAATATGGCCTATCCATATTGGTGTAAAATCGAGAAACGTGTTTTATCTTTTTTTAGTTCCTGGGGAGAAGGCTTTCACATTTTGGATAAGCGATCAGGAAAAAAAGCCCCCCCCCCTTTCTTGACCTTGCTTACTATTGAGTGTAGTAACTCATGAGGACAGGAGATGATAATGCTTGTGTTTTCCAATACAGTACCCCATCCTTAAGTAAGGATCAATAGATTTAAAAGCGGAGCTTTGACAAGATTTTTAGCTGTAAACGCAGAAGGAAAATTGGCAAGCAACTTACCTTGGCAGAGCATTCAGGATCCCTGGATTTTTGTTTTCACTTAGCTGAGTCACTACTCAGCACAAATCGGAGCCACTATTATCTCTACAGTCCAGTGTTTAGCAAATGGGTTATTGTTTGTCAACATTGCCTGTGGAAGCCAATCCAGTCACTTTCTGTCAAGACTCACCATTTATCAAAAGCATTTATTCTGTCAAGGATTTGACTATTAGATGAAAAGCATATTGTTCTAGGACTGTTCTAGCATTATTGGCAAATGCTGCAGCTTGAAACAACAAACTCTCCAGCTGTGTGCCTACATGAACTTACCTGCAGTTGAACAACTTATAACAACCTAAATCTTATGGGCATTGCTCTGGTAGTTGCATCACTGGGGGTGGTGTTTTGTTGTAGTTGTTTTTTACAGCATATGGTAAGATCATTTGTTTACACCACCAAGACCACATTCCTTTGGTACCATAATGTCATGTTCTAGGACTTTGTGGTGGTAGAACAATTAGAAGAACTACCTCTAAACACTCACTTGCTGGTGCAAGCCAATATTAGGATCAAGTCATAAGAAGACCCATTAGGAAGGAAGGGATTACTGCAAATAGAAAAACAAAAATCTCTTACATTGCTCAACTTTACAAACCTCACCATGATACGCTTCTAAAGTCTTTTCAGAACACATACACGGATATATTTTGCAACAGCCTTAATGTCCCCATACGACCCAGAGTAAGGATATTGAAGATATATTTGTATATATAAATATGTATTCATTACCTTATTTACTCTATCAATTATATTTGTTCAGATTCATGTGACTTTTAACACCTAAAGCTTGTGGAGTATGAAAACCAATTATTTATATCACAGTGTGTTTGGCAGAATAATTCTGTCTCCAGGTCCATTCAGTCCTTAGCTTTTTGCAAAACCTGCTGTTTACATGAATCAGTAGCTATGCTAGGTTTACATCATTTGAGATGTGAAGGAAGAACAGAAAACAATTTGTTTGGTTTGCCTGGCATTCATAGGGCAGTTGGCCTAAGAAACTGCCCTACACAGAGTTAGAGCAATGGCCCCTTTATCTCAGTACTGTCTGCACTGATTGCCAGTGACTTTTACAGAATTTCACACTAGTGGTGATAGCCAAAGAAAGTTGGGTTGTGCTTCAAAATGCTCTACTTGAATCTGAAATGTAAACTATGCCACTTATACCCATGTTCTTTTGGAGCTTGGATCTCAAAATCAAAGTCAATATCCAAATTTTGAGTTTCTTAAAAATAATCTAAGATGTAGAGTCTATTCTTAGCACTAAGCAGCAGCTGGAAAACTAGTGATGATGAGCAACCTCTGGATCGAACTGGATTTTCTGAGCTTTCTCAGAGAAGGTTGAAATTTTCTGTGAGGTTGCTGAGTCCAAGGAAGCTTAGAAAGATACCCATGGGAGATCTTTCTCAGTACTTTTTTTATGACTGGTGCGTTGTCCTCCCAAATGGCTTAAATGTTATTTGACAATTGCAGAGATTTAATCCTTAAATTATTAGTTTCCTAGTACAACAGAGGCTCAAGAGTGTGCAGAGACCATCCACTGTTGCAGGGGAGCCTGGGAACTGTACTTTTAAATGGAAATATGTAGTTCCTGATTTTTCACTTGTAATCTTAAAACCATGTGCTTCCATTGCCCCAAGGACTCCACCTTGCTTCACAAGAAAGTTTGAGGGATCGTCAAGCCTTGTGGAACACTGGCCAGCTTACAGAATATATAAAACATAATAAAGCATCAAGCATTAAAAACTTCCCAATACAGGGCTGCCTTCAGATGTCTTTTAAAAGTTGTATAGTTCTTTATCTTGACAT